AGTATGTACAGCCGGCTTCATAAATTCTCCATCAGGAGAAGAATATACAGTCGCCTTTGTTTCCCTAACTTGAGTCAGGTACCCATTAGAACACCGGGTCCGAACTGGAGACTTCTGGTTAGCAGTTTACCTGCTCTACTGCTCGGTCTATGCTTGCACTGGTCCATGCTTGCACTGGTCCATTCTTGCACTGGTCCATGCTTGCACTGGTCCATTCTTGCACTGGTCCATGCTTGCACTGGTCCATTCTTGCACTGGTCCATGCTTGCACTGGTCCATGCTTGCACTGGTCCAGTGTATAAACTCTGGGTAGGATACAATAAACAGTGTGTTGGTGAATGATGCACCGCTTATCAAACAGTACAACAACCGTGCACAGGTAATCAATACACCACGTTATTGTGAGTTCCCTGGAGGGGATACAAAAAAGTGGTGCATTGTTAAACGACGCACCGGCATTGGTAAACGACGCACATGTTTATTCATAGTGGGATAACTTAGACCGCGTATTACCAAACGATGCACCGTATTTGTGTATGAAAACAAATTGGATAAAATAACTTGTCAAACTTCGCACCGTTATTTTATTTTTGGAGAAAGCAGGATGTGATTAGATTTCTGGGATGTTGTTGAAGGGTGCACCGGTTTACTGCGGGCGAGAGAAGAAATAGCAGTCGTGACGTCATCGCTCGATGTGGACAAAATGAAGTTGTCATGCAATGCTCTATAAGCTGACGTTGGCTACCAGTCAAGCAGTACAAAGGTGGGGGGGGGGGGGGGGGGGGGGAGAGTAAGGGGGAGTGGGCGTGGCGAGTAAACCCAAAATACATTTATCAATAAACATCAAACGCAGTAAACGTTGCCTTCGATCTGGGTGTGAACTTTTGAGTGTCGACGTTGTTGGTTTTTCTTGGGGGGTAGGGGGGGGGGCGCACAGAGTTTCTTTAAGGAATATCTTCTCGCCGGCACTCCCCGAAGCACGTCTACCTCCCCCCCCCCCATTCGAACAAATAGAATTTATATAGAAAATATTTTCTTTTACGAGTATCCGTTCCCTCCCGAAAAATATAGTGCGCCCCCCCCCCCCCCCCGAAAATTTCGCCCCCGGGGATAAAAGTCTGAAAGAAAAACTGGCCACCCAAATCGAGAATCAATCCATCTACACCCAACAAACGAACCTTTCCCCCTCCCCCCCCCCCCCCTCCGTCCCCTCGGTTAAACATTTCCCGCCCAAATCTCATGTCAAAGATTGCAGAAGTGCGAGCGTCGTTTCTGCTACTGAATTGTTTTTCTTCTTTAGGGTATGTGGCATTTATGACATCTGAGATGGAACATATGCCAACACATGTCATCTGATTAACTCTTTGTATCACGTGACAAGATGTCATACAGGTGAACATGAGACATCTTAAGACCTGTATATTTTGACTGGCAAGAGACGTCTGTCATACACCACCTAACAAATGGCATCAATTGTGTACCACGTGACAAATGACGTCTATCCTACATCTTACATCAGCCATTTCACAAGATACAACAACCGACTAGCAACTTATACATGTCAAATATAAAACTATGCCTGTCATCTGACAATGTATATCTTTCATCTGACATCCGAAGCTACAGCTGACACATTCATGACAGCTGACAAACTATTTCATGACATTTTAAACCAGATCTGTCTTACCTAGTCTTTTCGTGAGTTTGCGCTAGATTTTGCATCTTTAACAATCACTCTGATCAATACTTGTGCCCCCCCCCCCTCTCTTTACATTTAGACCTGGGCCAAAGTATGGGAGGAGACCCAATGCTCGGCCTCCCCCCCTCCCCGTAGTTTTTGTCTCATCTGTTGCTTGTGTATGTTCGGGAAAGATAAGTTTTCTAAGATTCAGGGTTTGTACACATAGGTCATTGTAAGATCATTGACCTGTGGTGGTCTATCGTAAGATCATTGACCTGTGGTGGTCCATTGTAAGATCATTGATCTATGTTTAGGTCAATGATCTTACATGACCTATGGTTAGGTCAATGTAAGATCATTGACCTATGTTAGGTCCATTGTAAGATCATCCACCTATGTTTAGGTCCATTGTAAGATCATTGACCTATGTTAGGTCATTGTAAGATCATTCACCTATGTTCGGCCCATTGTAAGATGATTGACCTATGGTGGTCCATTGTAAGATCATTGACCTGTGTTAGGTCATTGTAAGATCATTGACCTGTGTAAGATCACCATGGTGACACAAGGTCAGACCAACTTAAACCCAGTCATCTAAGACCAGACTTACACAAGTTACATTACTGTATTTAAAATATGTATGTAAATACGTCGTTATGTACCTATGCGTCGGCAGTATATATGTATGTCTATACTAATAAATGGGTGTGATTGTGTGTTGGGTTTGACATCAAATGTCCACACGTATAGAGCACCAAATTGGTTTGGTGGGGTCTGATGTGTGTGTGTGTGGGGGGGGGGTCTGATGTGTGTGTGTGTGGGGGGGGGGGGGGTCTGACATCACACCTGTCCATCAACTGTCCACACATATAGAGCACCAAATTGGTTTTGTGGGGGTGGGGTTGGGGTTCAAACTGGTTGCTATCACCTTACACCCGGCCATCAACAGTCCGTCTACATGTCTAGAGCACCAAGTGTGGGAGGGGGGAGGGGGGAGGGGGGAGGTGCTGGCATCGCTTTACACCCGGGCATCAACAGTCCGTCTACATGTCTAGAGCATCAAGTGTGTGGAGGGGAGGGGGGGGGGGAGGTGCTGGCATCACCTTACACCCGGGCATCAACAGTCCGTCTACATGTCTAGAGCACCAAGTGTGGGAGGGGGGAGGGGGGAGGTGCTGGCATCGCTTTACATCCAGCCATCAATAATTTGTCTGCAGGACTGAAGACCCAAGAGCTGGTCTAGATTGTCACAGAAAAAAATCGATAGACTTTGATTAGTTGATGAAAAAATACTTGTTGTGAGATGTTGGTTTTTTTCTAAAGCACTTTAGCCGCGAGTGCTAGTTGTTGTACCCTGGGTTTAACACAGGAGGTCCCTCTTTAGTTGAGTGTAGGTCAGTTTAGCCTAGGATCTAGTTGACGCCTGGTCAGTTTATCCTAGGATCTGGTTGACACCTGGTCAGTTTAGCCTAGGATATAGTTTGTTGACTTCTGATAAGTTTAGCCTAGGATCTAGCTTACACCTGGTCAGTTTAGCCTAGGATCTAGTTAGCTGACTTCTCATAAGTTTAGCTTAGGATCTTTTCCAATACTATGCTAATACTATTCATTCATATTATAGATATCAATCTTAGTTACAATAATTATCAGAATTAAAGTGAGTATGTCGGGTATGTGTTTGTTATTGTTTAATACGTAAGATTTCTTAAATTAACTCGATACAACAGCGGATCCCGCCCCTGAGGGTTGATCCCTCCCCTTCTCAATCCCCTTACCCCTAGACACATTTAAGTGCAGTTTATAAAACATCATCGGTGAGGTCGTTGACCACAAATGACACTACAAAGGTCATGGTGACCTCCTTGGTAAATAAATATTGTATGAATAATTCTGGCTAACTGTGTGTACATCTTATTTATGTACGCAGATCTGAATACCAAACACATAAATTGTGATCTCAATACATGCAGCTTTATGAATAGAGAGTGGGATATCTGAATGAAGGAGACTTAGGTCTGCCTCAACAGACTATGTAAAGTGAATGACTGGCAACATTTCATGGACTCCCCCCCCCCCCCCCCCCACCGACGCAAGTATGTAATAATTGTAGAACTTGTAGCGGTTGTGGTTGTTATTTGTATGATGACAGAAATTTATGTTTTGTCCAAAGATAACACAAAGATAACAGATAATAAAGATAGGATACTTGGAATGACAATCAAAGCTGACCAAAAAACTGTATTTCTCTAGATCAATATAGCAATTGGCTTGTGGGTGCTGGACAAATAAAATATAAATTACATTTTTTTAAATTTGTAGTGATTTCAGTTACATTGTTTTAATCAAATTAAATTTGAGAGGAAACTGTTTTTTTTTCTGTTTATTTTAAAACAATGATATTTTTTTCTGTTTTTGTAAGCTATGGTGCATATAAATTGATTAGCAATCGTATAAGTAATGCTAGATAAGGGTTAAATTATTTGTATCGAAAACCTATGCTAAGCTAAACCATATGATTTACCACATTTAAAAAAAACCTCTTACAATAACCAACATAAATTAAAAACGAATATAAAAATACTTTTAAAAATATCACTAAGATAGAGTAGATAAAGCTCTATGGTACCAAAACTGTAGAACCACAAGCCATCTTACACTACCACCCACTCACTCTGTTACCACACCTCTGCCTACCACCGACGCATCCCCCCACCATGCCCCCTCCCCCACCAACCACTTCTGTACATTGACCCCACCCAAAGGTCACAGAACACGCTCTGAGAGCAAGGCGTGTCACGTGTCTATCATGCTCTAATTATAGCAACAAGCCACGTGACAGACATCAGACCTGTCAGTCCGACATGTCACTACAGATAGCCTCTCCAACATAATGTGACAGATAGCCTCTCTTACATCTCATGACAGATAGCCTCTCTGATATGTCACTACAGATAGCCTCTCCGCCATAATGTAACAGATAGCCTCTCTAACATCTCATGACAGATAGCCTCTCTTACATCTCATAACAGATAGCCACTCCAACATGTCATGACAGATAGCCTCTGCAACATATGACAGATAGCCTCTCCGCTATGATGTGACAGATAAGCTCTCCACCATGTCATGACAGATAGTCTCTCCAACATATCGTGACGGACAGGCTAACAGAGAAGTTCTGTCCAACATTCTGGGCAAGCTAAATCTGTCCCACAATAGGATTTAACACGTTAATTATTACGTCACAATTTTTTTCTCCCTTTGTCTATTTTTAGCCTCGTGTCGAGGGGCCGTAACTCCACGACCGGCTCAAACTGGCTTG